TTCTGGTGGAGTTCAGTTGATATGAATTTTGGAGTAGATACAGACCTCCTGACCTCCATATCTAACCAAAAAAAAAGTATGGTATGGTAAAGTAAAATGAGAGTAAAGTAACTGTTTTTGTGTCTGCCAAGCTTACATGAAACAGCAAAGTAAGCTACTTTTTTTCAAGTTAAAAATGTAGCAAAAACTTAGCTTACTTTACTGTTTCATGTAAACTTGACATGCAGAAAAATGGCTAGTTTACCATTACTTAACTTTACCTTACTATACTTTTTTTTCTGGTATGTAGGTACAGAGGTCTGGGGGTCTGTAATCAATATCAAACTTAGTTTAATACAACTTTACCAGATTTCTAAAATGATAAATAGCGATATCATGAAGAAAAAAATAATTAAAAAATTGAATTTAAGTTCTAGGAAATATTATAGCATGCTCTAGAAATAATTATATACCCTTACTGGTAAAAATCTCTTAATTTTGACTTTTTGTTAATAGGCAGGGTTCTTATGATCTTGGTAACTTGAAAGTTTTGTCGTAACCTCTGTACTTTACCTTCAGTTTCCTTGGGGCATTCAAATATGGTACCTAAAACATGAGGATCTGATTGGCTAATACCAGAAAGTTACCTTATGCAACTTCCTACCTTTACTTGTTACTGTAAAATCATCTTTTAACTTTAAATACCCAAGTGCTAGGGTATAGTACCGTACAGTAGAAGGGTTCCTCACCATGATGTTGAAACCTGTCGATGCAGCCATTGATTCTGTTATTGTTTTACTTGTCTATCCTGCATTAGTTCTTGTTTCTGTTTTGTCTCATCAACAACATCTGGGACACTCTTGTTACCGACTATCAGTAGCCTGTATCATGTGGAGGAAAAGTTTTTCTAGTCGTCTTTTATGTTTCATTATCTTAGGATAAAAGCACAATGTTTTTCCTTTTTTGCTTTATGAGAATCAATCAGGCTTTCACTTATCACTATCGTCGCTCTCTTATCTTGTCTTTATAGTCAATTTACAATAGCTCCTTTGTCATACCAAATCAAAACATGATAGATAACCCGGGTACCCTCAATATGGCAGTGAAACTTGGGATCAACAAAACAAGCTAATTTATCAGAACTCTGAGCAGATAGATTGGCCCGCGTTGTCTTAGTTACCCCAGTAGGAGTTTCCCAGGTATTTGGCTTTCTTTGAGAGGGGTTCTACTCCACTGTCAAAGTCTCTTTGTTGGTTGTACTTGGTTGCATCATTGGTGTCCTATTTCTTGAGAAACAAATGGCGGTTCTAGTGACTGCGGCTTGATCTGCTGTACTTGTACAAGAAAACATAATGCCATCATAATAGCCCGAGACATGCCTAAGATAAAAAAAACTGGCTTTTTTTTCACTTCTACTTTCTCCCGCTTCTCAAAGGTTTGTGGCATCGCAGTAATTGCCCTGACCTAAATTTCTCGGGAGTTAGCTAGTGTAGGTGACTGACGGAAAGGGGAGAAGATGAGTCCACGGACCGTTTAGATAGCGATTCTAGGAGGTAGTGAATTTAGTTGGCTGCACCGTCATTTTATAGGGGGGGGGGAAACCCCTCCCGGTTTGTCCACCTGTCTATTCGCTTCTCTTGTGAATCCAGCCATAGTTGTTAGGGTGTTGACGAATTATGTTGCCTGATCGTAACTATCTTGGCTCGGGCAATAGTGTGACCGCCATTGTATGCCGAGAACGAAGCGGGGTATCGCGGTCGATGGTCTCATACTCACTGCACTTTTACACAGCTGGTATTATGCATTCATAGATTATGAGGCAAACCCCCGGCTGACGCGGCGATAATCCCTAGAAAAGAAATTCCATAATATTATGACACTAGTAGCATCTACTCATCTCTTACCGAATGAGTAATGATACATTGAATCTAACCTCACGGTAGAACAGGTCCTGGACTTTTGTCCAATTTCTCCTGCGGAAGATGTAGTATGGTTTATAAGGCCTGGGCGAGCGGCGTTTTGGATGTAGGGGGGATTCTTAGCCCAGAGTTAGGGGGACGGTGCGAGTTATAGGGCATATCACAACAGGAAAATTGGGCTCTTTTTCGGTGCAGAAATCATAGAAATAGAATTTGCTATTCCTAAGGAGAGGGTCTTATAGTGCGAAGCTTTAGGTTGGAAAATATAATTTTGGGGGGCATCGTACTATTGATTACGGCATAGATCGTTGATTTCAATTGTTGGGCATTTTGACTAGGGTAACGGGAGAGAATATATGAAGGCAAAGGATAGGGTGGGACAAGTTTCTGCTGTATGACAGGCTAGAGGCGTGGGCGCTGTGGAGACGACGCCAATTCTTGCGATTGTGTGAATTATACAAGAGATGCAGTAGACCCGCTGCAAGAGTACAAGGTGTCTTATTACAGTAAATAAATGAAGATCAAGAACTCGTAGCGGTAATTCCCAGACCCTCGCCATCAAGCCAAGGTTGGCCTAGCTGCTAGACCTTTCAAATTCACAAGCAAATCCTTTATAAACTCCGGCTGAGTGGAGATGAATTTAATAAATTCGTCTCTCTCCTGAAGCAACTCCAGTGTCCAAGAAACGAATTGTGCCAGGAATTTCTGGATCGGGTCTGAGTCCGGGAGGTTGTTGTATGCATACTCTATAATTGAAGTCAGGCCGTCCGCATCAGTCTTGCCCTTCAGGTCAACGAGGTTCATCTCCGTGGAGAATTTCGACTTTGCGAGCAGCTTTAAGGTGGGTATGTTAAATTTGTCCGAGAAAGCGTAGAGCTCAAGATGCGTGCGAAGACTGGGCCATGGATCCGCCTTTACTTCTAAGTAGCCGCCGTGTGCAGGGGGGCCGCCGAACGGAGGGTTGCTGCTCTGTGGAACTGGGGTTTTGACAACAGGTGTACTGTCCACAATGGTGTATCCTCTAGTGTATGCCCACTCTGAAAAAAGCGTGAGAGCAAATTCCCCCTCGTCCGGAAAGTATATTATGCCTTCGGCGCCCTCTTTCATGTCGTTATTCACGTGCTTGTCGAGTTCTGGGGATATGCTCGCAAAGAGTTTTTTATGTATCTCCATTTTTTTGCGATCTCGGCCGACATACAACGTGACTGTTCCGTCAAACATAAATCTAGTAACAAAAGTTAGTCATGAGATCTGAGGTGCACAATTTTAATAGCAAGGAGAATTGGTCTAACGCTTTGTACTTTGATGAGAGTTTGGCTGAAGTGCTCCCTGACATGGCGGAATCAGGGTTTAATGAAAGGACCTGGATGGTAGCTTCTGTGCCTTTGAAAGCGGTGGGCGGGGTATAGTTGCGAGAGGTGCCTAGATACGAGAAACGAAGGCTGTTGGATAAAGATGGGATGGTATCGATATGTGGGCAAAAAAAGAGCAGTGTATGCCTTAAACCGCACTATATGGGTAAATTATGTTGGTTATGGGCGGGTACAATTTAGTTGCCAAAGTGCGGCCCAATAGAGTAAAAGCTTTATGTGCCATCTTCTTGGCAGCGGGCCGGGAATCCCTCCAATGCCAAAAGTCATCACCAGGAACTCGATCGCAGCCAACGCGCAGAAAGAAGCGGGTTTGGGGAGATATTCTACGAGTAATATCGGTAGTCTTTTTGATGGCTTAGGGGAAACTCCATAAAAGTGGTTGAGCATTCGTGTATCAGAGGTAGCTTTAAACTCCCTTTCAAATAGGTTGTCCAATCGTCAAATCCCAAGCTTCCTACAATACTAAGTTATTAGTGAGAGTGCAGAGAAGCAATTTATATTTGTCTCCATTCTGTAGAAAGGATTTCAAGAGTGGTTCGGCCAGGCGCAATGCCCGTGGTCATCGAGTGTCACTCGTCACACCAATCTGTCACCTCTTCAAGGAGGAGGCAAAGCCTTTCCCGATCTCCCGTGATCCCATAGTGGCACTCTTATAGCGTTAGTAGTTTTGCAAAACACTAACACCGGTATCCAACGCCTCCTCATGCATTTAGACAAAACCTCCACAGGTTCCCCGCAGTCTCTTAGAGTGTCTTATTCTCCGAGATTACATCCCTAAACGGGATAGAGGATCCGTTGGTTCCTTGGAATTGGTTGTGGCTGGCGTCTTAGTTCTAGGGCGTAATATACACCGGAGGCCTTCCAGACGCTTCCTCTCCAACCAACCTATTCCATTCCTAGGCTACAACAGAATAGCCCTAGTGGTCTCTAGGATCCTAGCTTAGAAAGGGTACCAAATCACCTTCGTCCTTCGTGGCTCATCTCAGTCATCCATGGTTTAATCCCTCCCAAGTTGGTGGGGTAGATTGTTGTTGAAACTTGAAAGAATCTTGGCTACTATTGGGAAGTATTATGAAGCTAAGACTATGGCTGATGAGCATTTGTACGAGTTTGGGAGAAAGTCGGTGACTAAGGGTATTTGTCTTCGGCCTGGGAGTGATGACCTGACGACTGGGTTAGTACCCCTGGAGGATCCAACGACAGAGGACTAATCCTGACAGAGTGATATCCGGCGAGTGATAATGGTGCAAAGTAGGGAGCTTGGAATCGGGGACTGCAAACCCCACAATAAGTGCGGCTTTAGGACCACAATTTCTTAGCCAACCCGTATTAATGAAAGCTGCTAATACATAGAGATCTTGGGGCAAAGCCGTGTCACCATTAATTTCAGTTGCCGTGGTGCGAAGTGACTGCTGGGAGAGCGGCTATGTATGGGAAAGGTATCTTGTGACCCGTCTCGGTTACTATCGTATTGCCGGGGGCGGTGGTTTAGTGTGGGCATAGCTGGGCGCCCGCTATGCTGGGGTCTAATGGCTCAGAGATATGCAGCCTGGTGATGGGATGATTTCGAGTAGATAACTAGGTGAAACTGGAAGGCAGAGATGTTTGTGTTGCGTACTTTCTGCCCACCCGGCGCCTTTAACGTTCGGCCATATCATTCAATACGATGTGTCAAATACGGACTATCCTGGGTGTATGGGGTGTAAAGGTTTGGAAAAAGGCTGTTCTGGGGATGGGGAAAACGTTAGGGGAGTGAACATACTTTATCACTGATTTTTGGTTTATTAGGGGCTTTGGGGAGGGATTTTCACCTTATGGGGTTCTGGCTAGTTGAGTTGTTCATGCATTGTCACTCGTATACATAATGCTCATACATTTTGATGCCTTGCCGCTATACACAGCATGGGGGATCAGGCCCTTGTGGGTTTAGCTCGCTCTCAAGCCTTTTGCGTATGTTTGTATTGTCGGACCTTCCTGTCGGTTATTTATTTCTTTGGCTTGCATGATCCTAAACCCGGGAGACCGGCCGAGCGATGGGGTAAAGTTTGAAAATTATTTCCGGGACAAACAACCCCTATAGTTTCTGTTAAGCGCAACGTATGTGGCGTAAACCCCTAAGTTAAAATTTAGCTGATGTCCTTGGAGGCACTGTCTGGCATGGCTTGTGGACTTTCATTTGGGATCCTTTGTGGTGGGGGTAAGTGAGCGTTTTTGAAGACATAGTATGTGAGGTGGGCTTTTTTGGCGGTAGGTGGTTGGGTTGAGATATATGGTTTGAGGAGACGAGGTCAATCCTTACCTTTGACTGGATTACACGCAAGGGGCCTTTTCTGGAAAGATGCACAAGTACTGAAGCTTGGGCTCTACCCCTCCATACAATTTCAGACCTGGTAGGTTTCGTGCTCTTTCTCGGGGTATGGGATTTCATAGAGAGAAAGAGGGAATCAAATGTATTCATTGCACTGAAAAGACGAAAATGAGAACTCAACCACAATTCGGATCTTTGCCATCAGGCGGGAACCGGTCTGTCGCGTTTCACATTGCTCGAGAAGAAAATGAAGTATTCTGACAGTTCCCGGGCAGGGTTTCATTACCTTCTGAGCAGTTAAGGGTCCTGTACCCTCGCGAATCAACCGCTCACACGATATAGTCTTTCCCGCCGGTCGTAGGTAGGGTGAATCTGTGGTGCCATAGACGTAGGCTTAATGCTTAATCCTTTCAAATGCAGAAGCAATTCTTTTAGAATCTCCGGCCGAGCCAGAGTCAATTCCTCGAATCCAGCCGTCCCCCGTAGCAACTCCAACTTCCAGGAGGCATATTGCGCTAGAAATTTCAGAGCAGGGAGTATCAGTCTAACTTTGTACTTTGGGGAGTGTTTAGTTGTTGTAAAATTAGACATGTTGGAAAGGTGGGGAAGCCGTAAGAGAAGGTATGGATGGGGGGTCGAATGTTCGTTCCGAAAGCTGCGCGAAAATTATGGTGGCGAGGGGGCAAAATAGCAAAGTTGCAATGGAGGTGCAGGTCGGGGGTGGTGTTGAAACTCAATTTATAAGCGTAGAAACGCGCATGGTAAGTGTTGTAGTGTTGTATGTTCTAAATCCTATTCCATGGACTGATGAGATATGTGAATTTCTGGCCTTCGGCCTGCAGTAACTCCACGCTGTGACTTGGCGAATTTTCTACAAAAAATTTTGATATTTTGCGGGGTTTGTGAGGCGAAACCATTTGACCACACCTCGATTAGGGGAGACAGGGAAATCTACTCATCAATCGGTGAGGTAGGCTAAGTGTGTCGGAGTCGCGATTTATCATAACTGCATGTAGGTTCAGATAGGGTAAAATTTTTATTTGCCATCCTGTTAAGTTAACAGGGTCTTTCAGGTACCGGAAGTTGAGCAGCCCAACTGTCGTGCCTAGGGACAGAGTATTAAGCTGCTCGTGCTGTGGTGGCATAGAAACGATTTTGGGGACGGGGGAAGTATGAGTATTTGGCAGTTCAAGGGCTGGGGCGTACCGGGGGCAAGCCTTTTTACTGTATTTGGTAGAACCTACTCTAGCTCAATCTGTGATTACAATTACTCTTATGAGTTGCAATTCCGGTGGTGTTGCCTGGGTATTCATCGGTGCCGAATGTTCTCATTCTACTCAGGTTCCACACAGCCATAACACTCAAAGGCTACTGTATTAGGGAGGCTTAGTGAAGACGTTGTGAGGGCCTTTGCGAGAGTACTGCGGAGAGCTCTTCGGTGATACAGTTATTGGACGTAACCCACAGTTGGTTCCCCATTGCGCCCCCTGGTAACACGGCAGAACTACACCGAAATTGTAAGGAAAAGCAAGCGTGAGGAATTCGAGTTCAGAGGGCTATTATAACCCCCTCACAAATTCCCACCAGGTTACACATGCGAGTAAGCAAGGATCTAGGGATTAATATTCTACTACTCGCGCCAACGGCAGACTCGGTAATTGTGCAGTCATATCCGAAAAGAAAGTATTCCCCCCCCCCAAAAGAAAGAGCTATTCCGAGGTGTAAGATCCTAGCCTCCCTTACCGATCGCAACCAAGAAAAAGACAGAAGTGTCAATATTACCAGCTTCAATTTGGCCATCAATAATTCCACCGTTATAAGTGGATCCCACCATCGCCATTCTCAGTAGGCTAGGAACTAACGCCCCAGCTAAACCAATAAACCCAGCCTCAAACTGGATGGGTTCAGACACTTGCGGCTTGCTTGGGTGCAGAATGCGCTTGCTCAATTGGCAATGCGTCCTGGGGAGCCTGGTGGGAGTTTTGAGGTTCCTATCACACCCCTCTAGGTACTAAAACCAAGGGTTTTTACTTTCATGCTTACTGATCCCTAACATACATTACTAGCGTTAACTGGTATCTGGGGAGATATCGTCCAAGGAGGAATTTCGGTAGCACAAAAGAGTAGGGAAGCTCGAAAACAGGGTTGACTTAACTGTCTGAGGAAGTTATCTAGAAACGCTATGCTAGTTATTTAGGGCATGTCTCCTCTGTCATGTAAGACTATGTCTCATTCACCTAGCTTAATCACTATAAGAATAACTATTATTTTTTTGTTAAATCCATCTGTTGGGTCAGTATAAGAGTCATATAGTTCATTATATAATTGCAATGGCACTCAGTTGCAAATGCTCGATATTAGAAAGGGTGGAAGAGGGGAAAGCCCAAGACTTCCACAATTGGTGAAACCAAGAGGCCTGGGCTGTTGCTCGGTCTGTCTTGGAACTTGTTGTTTCAAGATTTTCCTCCTTCGTGTGGGTTAAGCAGGCTAGTTGCCATGGCGCCAGGAATGCTGCCATAAAACCAATAATGACCTGAGCTCAAACCCTCGGGTATTGGCTGATAAGGATGATTCGCGAAATGGTGAGAGGATAAATTACTGGGCCGTATTGTGGCTATGCTGGGGGGTAATATCTGGCTACAACATCGCTTTGTTGGAGAAGGGAAGAGAAAAATCTATCTTCACATATCTAGTGAATTCAGTTACGGTTGTTAGAACTTCAGTGGATTATGTCACCAAGATATTGATTTATTATTCTGGCTCTAATGGGGTTGTATAACCACTAACAGCACAAAGTGGGACACTGCAATTGATGATACTCACTAAATTTACATTTCCAGATCGCAGACGTTGGATATTGGAGTTTATGAGGCAACTTCTTGGTTGGCGCTGCAGAAACTATCCGGTGACACAGCATGGCTCATTCTGGGATAAAAATTATGCGGTATTTATGATGTTTTGAATTTAACCGGACGGTGAATCAAAAAGATAGTTTATCGGTATATCACTGCTTGTGCTGGGGCGTGTGGTCGTAGGTTGTCACTCAGTGTACGGCATGGTTTGGTGTGCGATATGAGTGGGGTAGATGTGTAGTAAGTTATTGAGTGTATCGAGTGAGAGTATGTATGTGCAAACGGAAAATTTCAAGGAAAAGAATAATCTGTCAAGGGCCGAAGGAAAAGTGACTAATTCTACACGAGTGATGTCCGGCGTGCAACAGTGGTAGGGTACGGGGAATTTGGGACAGGTAGTAAAGCCCAAAATAATCGCGGCATCCGGGCTACCATCTCTCGCCCATCCTGTATCAAGGCCCTGGAGATAGTGAGGGGAAGGGGGCTGCTCGTAGATAGAGATCTAGGAGGAAAATTATGGGATATTTGACTTTTACTCTTGTAGTGTATGAGTGGTGGTGAGGCATCGGGATTTCCGGATTCCAGTGTGAGGTGCCGGGAGAGAGAGCGGCCTTGTATGGGAAAGAGACATCCCAGCCTGCTTCGCTTGCCATCGCATTGCCCTGGATGGCCGTTCGGTGGGTATAGCAAAATGTCGAGTATGTTACGTCCAATAGCCCAGAAATCCGCTGCCTACCCCCCGGAGAGTTTTGACTGGATTAAAGTAAGTGAGGGTAGGAAAGCAGCAGCGATATTTGTGTTGCGTCCTTTCTGTTTCTCCGGCATATTTGACCTTTCAGCATATGATGCTGCTGCGAACGTGGACAGTTCTCTATGTATGGGGTACAAAGTTTGAAAGAACCCATACTAGGTGGTGGGAAAAAGGCTGGTGAAATGACTGGGAATATCTTGTCTTATCGATTTCACTTTATCAAAGTTCAAGGAGGAATTTTTATCCCGTGGGGTTTTTCCTGGTTGTGGTTCATGTATTTTCATTCGCACTGCGATCCAGGAGATGGGTGGATTAGGCTTTGTGGAATTAACCTAGTCTCTAACTGTTAAATATGCTTGTATGATCCAGGCTCCCTACCGGCTATTAGTTTATCTAGCTTAAAGTATCATAACTCGGAGAATGGGCAGAGCGGGGGTAAGCGCGAAATTTCCTGGCTGAAAATAGGTGACTGAATCTGGATGATTTCGAAACTCCTTAGTGCTCCAGAAACCACTCTATTGTTTGTTTTTTTGCTAAGAGCGTTGTATGTATGTGGTGTAAAGCTTTGAGTTTGGGGGTACAATCCTTGGAGGCACTATACGGCATGGCTTGTAGATTTTTGTTCGGGGTCTTGGAAGTTAGAAGCAAGTTAGAACGGATAAAGACAAAGTATGTGGGATGGGCTAGCTTTATGGCATGTAGTTGGGATACGGCGAAAGAAACATTTACAAGCGCTGTGGTGTAGTCTCTGTTGCTCCATGCAGTATTGGACCTGATAGATTTTGTGTTCTTGCACGGGTTATATAATAGAAGGTTATAGAGAAAAAGGGGGAATGAAATTTATTCGCTACAGCAAGGGAGGCGGAAAAGAAAAAAAAGAACTTGTAGCCAGAATCCGGAACTTCACCGTTGAGCGAGAACTTGTTTGCCGTGTGCTAAATGCACTCGAGACGCAAGTGTTAAAGGACAGCTCCCGCACAGGAATTCATTGTAGCCAGGGTTGTTAGGGGCGCCGACCAACGAACCTCCCCCCGCGGACCCCGGGGAGCGCCCGGGGCGTTTGGGATGACTTCGCAGCAGGTTTAATGGGTAATCCTTTCAAATACATAAGCAATTCCCTTAGAAACTCCGGCCGAGCCAGAATCAATTCCTCAAATCCGGATTCCCCCCGCAGCAACTCCAACTTCCAAGAAGCGTATTGCGCCAGAAATTCTAGGATCGGACCCGAGCTGGGAAGGTTGTCATATGCATATTCTATTATTCGAACAAGGCTAGCGGCATCTTCCTTGCCCTTTGGCTCAACGGCGCTGATCTCGGTGTAGAATTTCGATTCTGCGAGCTGTTTTAAGGTGGGGATGTTGAATTTATCTGAGAATACGCAAAGCTGAAGGTGCTTATAGAGGCTTAGCCACGGATTCTTTTTCGGTCCCGTAGCGAGCGGCACATCGTCCTCGTGGGTATAGTCTCCAGTGTATGCCCATTTGGTGAGAAGAGTGAAGACCTCTTCTTCCTCATCCGGTAAACGTATGATGCCCTCGATGCCCTCCCTCATGTCGTTGTTGACGTGCTTGTCGAGCTCTGGGGATATGCTCGCGAGGAGCTTTTTATGCATTTCCATTCTCTTGCCAAATTGCCCAACGTGCAATGTGACGGTTCCGTCAAACAGGAAGCTAGTGAGCAAAGGTTAGTCATGGGGCTCAAGAAGCAGAGTTTGGAATAGCAGGGCGAGTTGGTCTAACTCTTTGTACTTTGGGGGGTGTTTAATTGTGAGACCGCCATCGCCTATGCCGCTGGAAGAGGTAAAAGACATAAGATTTGGATGATTGCTCGTTGGGAAACTGTGGGCCGGCTATAGTGGCGAGCGCAATGTGAGAGTTGGCAAAGAGGGTGCGGGTTGGTGGTGAGATTGAAACTTGGTTTATCTGTAAGTTACGGAAAGGCGCAGGATCCAAATCAAAGGCGCAGGCTCCAAATCCGATCTCTGGAATGATGAGATAAGCAGGCTTCGGACCTGCAACTCTATGCAGTGGCTAGGCAGCTTTTTTTGCAGAGGAACGCTTAATATTTCATTGGTTTTGTAAGGCTAAGTCACTAGGCCACATCTGGATTGGGAGGCTGGGGAACCCATGTGTCTCGGTATTTCATGGGAGGAGTGACTTGGTGTCGTACTTTATGAATAATTTATCCCTAAGTACAAGTGCTGGGGTATAGTACCGTACAGTAGAAGGGTTCCTCACCATGATAGATAACCCGGGTACCCTCAATATGGTAGTGAAACTTGGTATATCAACAAAACAAGCTAATTTATCAAAACCCTGAGAAGATAGATTGGCCTGCGTTGTCTTAGTTACTCCAGTAGGTGTTTCTCAGCTATTTGGCTTTCTTTGAGAAGGGGTCGACTCCACTGTCAAAGTCTCTTTTTTGGTTGTACTTGGTTGCATCATTGGTGTCCTATTTCTTAAGAAACAAATGGCGGTTCTAGTGACTGCGGCTTAATTTGCTATACTTGTACAAGAAAACATAATGCCATCATAATAGCCCGAGGCATGCCTAAGACAAAAAAAACTGGCTTTTTTTTTCACTTCTACTTTCTCCCGCTCCTCAAAGGTTTGTGGCATCGCAGTAATTGCCCTGACCTAAATTTCTCGGGAGTTGGCTGGTGTAGGTGACTGACGGAAAGGGGAGAAGATGAGTCCACGGACCGTTTAGATAGCGATTTTAGGAGGTAGTGAATTTAGGTAGCTGCACCGTCATTTTATAGGGGGGGGGGAAACCCCTCCCGGTTTGTCCACCTGTCTATTCGCTTCTCCTGTGAATCTAGCTATAGTTGTTAGGGTGTTGACGAGTTATGTTGCCTGATCGTAACTATCTTGGCTCGGGCAATAGTGTGACCGCCATTGTATGCCGAGAACGAAGCGGGATATCGCGATCCATGGTCTCATACTCACTGCATTTTTACACAGCTGATATTATGCATTCATAGATTATGAGGCAAACCCCCGGCTGACGCGGCGATAATCCCTAGAAAAGAAATTCCATAATATTATGACACTAGTAGCATCTACTCATCTCTTACCGAATGAGTAATGATACCTTGAATCTAACCTCACTGTATAATAGGTCACGGAGTTTTGCCCAATTTCGCCCCCGGAAGATATGGTTTATGTGGCCTGGGCGAGCGGCGTTTTGGAGGTAGAGGGGATGCTTAGCCTAGAGTTAGGGGGATGGAGCGAGTTAAGGGGAATATCACGACACGAAAATTGGGCTCTTTTTCCGTGCAGAAATCATGGAAATAGAATTTGCTATTCCTAAGGGGAAGGTCTTATGGTGCGAAGCTTTAGGTTGGAAAGTGTAATTTTGGGGGGCATCGTAGATTACGGCATAGATCGTTGATTTCCATTGTTGGGCATTTTGACTGGGGTAACGGGGGGGGGTGTATGAAGGCAAAGGATAGGGTGGGAGAAGTTTCTGCTGTATGACAGGCTGGAGGTGTGGGCGCTGTGGAGACGACGCCAATTCTTGCGATTGTGTGAATTATACAAGAGATGCGGTAGACCCGCTGCAAGAGTACAAGGTGTCTTATTACGGTAAAGAAATGAAGATCAAGAACTCGTAGCGGTAATTCCCAGACCCTTGTCATCAAGCTAAGGTTGGCCTAACTGTTAAACCTTTCAAATTCACAAGCAAATCCTTCATAAACTCCGGCTGAGTGGAGATGAATTTAACAAATTCGTGTTTCCCCTGAAGCAACTCCAGTCTCCAAGAAACGAATTGCGCCAGGAATTTCTGGATCGGGTCTGAGTCCGGGAGGTTGTTGTATGCATACTCTATAATCGAAGTTAGGCCGTCCGCATCAGTCTTGCCCTTCAGGTCAACGGGGCTCATCTCCGTGGAGAATTTTGTCTTTGCGAGCAGCTTTAAGGTGGGTATGTTGAATTTGTCCGAGAAAGCGTAGAGCTCAAGATGCGTGCGAAGACTGGGCCATGGATCCGCCTTTACTTCTAAGTAGCCGCCGTGTCCAGAGCGGCCGCCGGACGAAGAGTTGGGTGGAACGCTGGGTGGAACTGAGGTTTTGACAACGGGTGTACTGTCCACAATGGTATATTCTCCAGTGTATGCCCACTCTGAAAAAAGCGTGAGAGTAAATTCCCCCTCGTCCGGAAAGTATATTATGCCTTCGGCGCCCTCTTTCATGTCGTTATTCACGTGCTTGTCGAGTTCTGGGGATATGCTCGCAAGGAGTTTTTTATGTATCTCCATTTTTTTGCGATCTCGGCCGACATACAGCGTGACTGTTCCGTCAAACATAAATCTAGTAACAAAGGTTAGTCATGAGATCTGAGGTGCACAATTTTAATAGCAGGGAGAATTGGTCTAACGCTTTGTACTTTGACGAGAGTTTGGCTGAAGTGCTCCCTGACATGGCGGAATCAGGGTTTAATGGAAGGACCTGGACGGTAGCTTCTGTGCCTTTGAAAGCGGTGGGCGGGGTATAGTTGTGAGAGGTGTCTGGATACGAGAAACGAAGATTGTTGGTTAAAGATGGGATGGTACCGTATCGATATGTGGGCAAAAAAAGAGCAGTGTATGCCTTAAACCGCACTATATGGGTAAATTATGTTGGTTACGGAGAGGTACAATTTAGTTGCCAAAGTGCGGCCCAATAGAGTAAAAGCTTTATGTGCCATCTTCTTGGCAGCGGGCCGGGAATCCCTCCAATGCCAAGAGTCATCACCAGGAACTCAATCACAGCCAACGCGCAGAAAGAAGCGGATTTGAGGAGATATTCTACGAGTAATATCGGTAGTCTTTTTGATGGGTTAGGGGAAACTCCATAAAAGTGGTTGAGCATTCGTGTATCAGAGGTAAACTCCCTTCCAAATAGGTCGTCCAATCGTCAAATCCCAAGCTTCCTACAGAGCTAGGTTGTTGGTGAGAGTGCAGAGAAGCAATTTATATTTGTCTCCATTCGGTAGAAAGGATTTCAAGAGTGGTTCGGCCAGACGCAATGCTCGTGGTCACCGAGTGTCACTCGTCACACCAATCTGTCACCTCTTCAAGGGGGAGGCAAAACCTTTCCCGATCTCCCGTGATCCCATAGTGGCACTCTTAAAGCGTTAGTAGTTTTTCAAAACATTAACACCGGTATCCAACGCCTCCTCATGCGTTTAGACAAAACCTCCACAGGTTCCCCGCAGTCTCTTAGAGTGTCTTATTCTCCGAGATTACATCCCTAAACGGGACAGAGGATCCGTTGATTCCTTGGAATTGGTTGTGGCTGGCGTCTTAGTTCTAGGGCGTAATATACACCGGAGGCCTTCCAGATGCTTCCTCTCCAACCAACCTATTCCATTCCTAGGCTACAACAGAATAGCCCTAGTGGTCTCTAGGATCCTAGCTTAGAAAGGGTACCAAATCACCTCCGTCCTCCGTGGCTCATCTCAGTCATCCATGGTTTAATCCCTCCCAAGTTAGTGGGGTAGATTGTTGTTGAGACTTGAATGGATCTTGGCTACTATTGGGGAGTATTATAAAGCTAAGACTATGGCCGATGAGCATTTGTACGAGGTTGGGAGAGAGTCGGTGACTAAGGGTATTTGTCTTCGGCCTGGGAGTGATGACCCGACGACTGGGTTGGTACCCCTGGAGGATCTAACGACAGAGGACTAATCCTGACAGAGTGATATCCGGCGAGTGATAATGGTGCAAAGTAGGGAGCTTGGAATCGGGGACTGCAAACCCCACAATAAGTGCGGCTTTCGGACCACAATTTCTTAGCCACCCCGTATTAATGAAAGCTGCTAATACATAGAGATCTTGGGGCAAAGCCGTGTCACCATTAATTTCAGTTGCCGTGGTGCGAAGTGACTGCTGGGAGAGCGGCTATGTATGGGAAAGGTATCTTGTGACCCGTCTCGGTTACTATCGTATTGCCGGGAGCGGTGGTTTAGTGTGGGCATAGCTGGGCGCCCGCTATGCTGGGGTCCAATGGCTCAGAAATATGCAGCCTAGTGATGGGATGATTTCGAGTAGATAACTAGGTGAAACTGGAAGGCAGAGATGTTTGTGTTGCGTACTGTCTGCCCACCCGGCGCCTTTGACGTTTGGCCATATCATTCAATACGATGTGTCAAATACGGACTATTCTGGGTGTATGGGGTGTAAAGGTTTGGAAAAAGGCTGTTCTGGGGATGGGGAAAACGTTAGGGGAGTGAACATACTTTATCACTGATTTTTGGTTTATTAGGGGCTTTGGGGAGGGGCTTTCACCTTATGGGGTTCTGGCTAGTTGAGTTGTTCATGCATTGTCACTCGTATACATAATGCTCATACATGTTGTAAAACGAGAGAGAAATAGAGGTTCTTGATAGGCAAAGAGATAATATCATTCGTCACACCCGTCGCCCATGCTCATCCACACCATCCAGACACCAGGTAGTTAACTACCTTTATATACAAGTACTTCGGATCCCATAAAGCAGTCCTTCACCTCAATTCAACTCATTCGGCTCGGTCTACTATATCCATCTCATGACCTTCATTTCGGCATATCCTTCTTCTTTCACTCTGTCCCGATCGTCTCGCAGCTCTTCCTTTCCTATCAGGAAGTCTTAGCACCGTGTCCTATGTCATACTGACAACACTCCCACCCTTCCTGATAACTATTGATCTAATACATAGAAATATCGGAGACCTCATTAAAAAACCTCCCAAGGACTTTGGTAGGAAAAAGAGTGTCCCGTACATGCAAGGAAAATATAAACATGGGAGATTCAACTTAAGCAAAATTATTCTTCATCTGCGCCCATTCTCATTCCTCCATCTCTAGGCCTAGATTTCGAGTATGGCGTTGGTGGGTTTCGCGCGGCAAGGGTTTTGTCATGATATCGGCAGTCATCATGTTCGTGGGTATGTAGTTGAGTCGAATGAGGCCTTGCTTGCAGCAGTCTCGGACGAAGTGGTATTTGACATCAATGTGTTTCGTTCTTTCATGAAACTTGGGATCTCCAGCAAGCTTAATAGCTCCTTGGTTATCACAATTGAGCACCTGCAATTCATGCTTTGTTGTGGTAATTTCGTGAAAGAGGCGACGAAGCCAGATAGCTTCACGAGAGGCTTCCGAGTACCCAATATACTCAGCTTCTGTTGAGGATAGTGAAACTAGAGACTGTTTCTTTGCTTTCCAGGAGATCGCCGCGTTAGCTAGTAAGAAGACATAGCCTGAGGTGGATTTCCGGTCAGTGGTATCTCCCGCGAAGTCTGAGTCGGTAAAGCCGATTACTTCTGGTTGACCAATGCTGTAGATCAAGGACAGATTGATCGTTTGTCGAAGGTACCGAAGGACACGTTTTGCAGCAAGGAAATGATTCCTAGTCGGCTTTGCATTAAACTTGCTGAGTGTGGCGACTGAGAATGCAATATCTGGTCGAGTTCCAACCACAAGATACATGAGACTCCCGATCAAGGATTGATAGTCTCTTTGATTGATCAATTCATCAGTCTCTTGAGCGGACAACAGCTTTTGTCCAAATTCCATAGGAGTCGAAACCCCATTACTGTCGGTCATCCCAAAGCGGTAAAGGATAGTTCTGATGAACGTGGTTTGATGTAGTCGTATGTTCTTTGGTGACCGTTCGATTTCAATGCCAAGAAATCTGCGAACATCTCCTAGGTCATTCATTCGGTATTGGGCATGTAGATGTTGTTTGATTTCCTGTATCCTATCAAGAGATTTTGCAGTTATCAAAATGTCATCAACATAAAGTAGCAAGATTAGCTTAGAATCATGTGCAATATAAAGATTTGGATCGTTCTCAGAACGATGGAGTCCAATGGTTCGTAGGAATTGATCAATATGATCATACCAAAGACGAGGAGCCTGCTTCAGGCCATAAAGTGCTTTGTTAAGTTTGCAAACTACAGTTGCAGGGGGTAAGGCTGCTTCCAGCTATTCAATTCCCTCCGGCAATTGCATGTATACTTCATTGTCAATTGGGGGATTGAGAAACGCAGTAGAGACATCCATATGATGCATCTCTAGTCCACCAACAGCTGCAAGGGCTACAAGCAAACAAAGACTTACTAACTTTGCAACTGGTGCAAACGTTTCACCAAAGTCCACTCCTGGGACTTGCTCGTAACCTCTAATTACTAGTCGAGCCTTGAACCTCTGAGTTCCATCAGGGTTTGTCTTTAGAACAAAGACCCATCTGCAGCCTACTGGATTCACAGTTCTTGGAATCATAGACAGGTATTCCCATGTCTCGTTCTCCTTCAAGGAACGGAATTCAGCCCGCATGGCATCTTTCCAATGTTCACAACGATGTTGATTTAGAGCTTCCCGGTAGCTAAGCGGGTCACTCCCATCATTGGATTCTGGTCTTAGTATAGCACTGTATACTTGAGTTTGACCACCGAGACGTTGCGACCGTCTTAAAGGGATTATTTCACCTTCTTGCCTCACACTACTCGTACCAGTAGTAGGCGCATCACACTCTGCAGTAGGAGCTGTGGTTTTCTCAAAACTCAACACTTTATAGAGGAGCGACTCGTCAGTCCTCCTCCCAGTTGAGGGAATGCCGTCAGATAGGTCATTCGCTTTACGAAACTCTGCAAATTCAGAGTCGTCTTCTTCTAGGGGCATATTCTCAGGTATACAGCTCTTGAGAACCTCGAGTTCAGATTGGCCAACCACACAGTTGCCTGCCCTTCGTGACTCATCAAACCGAACGTTTGATGCTTGTATGATTCGTTTTCCCTCAAGATCCCATAGACGCCATATCTTTGACGTATCGTGCACATAGCCAATGAAAGCGCACATCTTGGATCGTTCCGCAAATTTCCCACGACGCTGTGCATCAGGAATCAGTTTAAATGCAACACATCCAAACTGACGTAGGTGCCCAAGCTCTGGCTTTGTCCTATGCAGCATTTCATAAGGTGTTGATCCATCAACCGACCGTGACGGGGAACGGGAGTGAAGGTAAACGGCAGTGTTTACAGCTTCAGCCCAAAATTCTTCTCCAAGATTGGAATCTAAGAGCATGGCACGAGCTTTGGTTACGATAGTTCGTATCATCCTTTCACTGACCCCATTTTTGTCTTGCGTATAGGGAGGCGATGGCTCGAATAATATCCCTGACACTCTCAAAATCCCTCAGAAAAGGCTATTATCGTACTCGCCTTTTCCATTATCGCAGCGGAACCGAGCAATTGGATACTGTGGGAATTGTTTCTCTATGGTGGCCATAAACTCCTGGAATACTGAAACCACTTCAACAGCATTCTTTGAGCGAAGGAAATAGGTCCAGGTTAACCTCAAGTAATCATCGATATATAGTATAAAATACCGTAGGCCTGACATGGATTCAGGGCTTATGGGCCCACAGAGATCTGAATGGATGAGTTGGAAGGGATGTGTGG